ATTTATTTAAACTAGTACGATTATTATACAAAAATGTATGATTCTGGGACATGGTTGTACTTGATTGAATTTATAAGTGAAGAAACTAGAGGTACTTTCTGTTCTGTCGAAACCTGCTATTTTTCAGGGTGTGTATGTGGTTGGTGTGTGTGTGTGTGTGTGTGTGTGTGTGTGTGTAGGAAGGAACAAAAGAAAGTGAGGTGAAGTCAGAGTTTATTTTCTCTGGGAGCTTTCATTTCCTCTAAATCTATTTTTACTTGTTGGTGGACAAATCATACAGCTAATATATAGCAGCTAGTTGGCTAGTAACCGAGTGTTGCTCTGGGCAACCAGATTTCACAATGCTTCCAATCCCAATAAGGGAAGGTCTCTGTTTTTAACCAATCAATGGCTATGGGTGTGTACGGGTGTGTACGTGTGCGTCTGTGTGTGTGTGTGTGTAATTTATGATGACTCAGTGTCTAAGAAGGTACAAACATTGTAGTTAATCTATTTCTGGTTCTTATATTACCTTTCGGGAATGGGCTGCGAAGACCTGGCTAACATCTTTGAATCACTTCCTGCCAACATATAGCTGTGTCCATTTTGGAAGGTCAGAAATGTAATGGGGTCTAGATAAATTTTAATATTACTTGAGTTTTCAGAGTGCCACCCCTGAAGTAGTACTTGCCCCAGCCTAGGCCATTACACACATGATAATGGCAGACTACTCAGTTTAAATGAGCTATGAGCTTGAGATTAAGAGAAAAGTATAACATATTGGGGGGTCAGAGAGAAGGTAGACTCTGCTGGGGTACAGAGAGAAAGCTTCACAGAGGAGATGAACATTAAAATGGGTTTTAAAGTATGAAGGAATTTACAGATAGAATAGAGGAAAGGCATTCTAGGGAAATAATAGCATACCCAAAGGAAGCTCTGCCCCTCAGTAGAAAAAGTGTACTTTTCCTTTTTAGGTTACTATAGAAGAGTTAACTAATATTATTGTCTAAACTGGGCAAAATGCATAAAAGTGAGGTCCTCAGACAAGCTGAATTGTACATCAATCATGCTCTGGATGCTCATTTGTTGTGTATAGATAGTTATTATTACAGAAAACAGATAGTGACATTCTCCAAGGCCCTTCTGGGGGAAAACTACCATGTACAATCTGACATATGTCATAACAGAATGTAATGAGCTGACCCATGGGATTTGAACAGTGTGTGATGGGGAATGGGTGATAACATCAGAACCACTTTTCAGTTTATTTAAAGGTCAACTCAAATTAAATGCTTCATTTCTTGCTTTGGCCTTGCTCATCGAGTGTTATCTGTGTGCTGATATTTTGCTGGGAGCTTGGCCTATAGCAGTAAAGAGGCAGCCATGGCCCCCGCCTGCCTCAATGAGTTTTTAATTTAGCCCGTACTCATCTTCAGAAGGATTCAAAGCAAAGCTAATTCTACCAGTTAGAATAAAAGCAACATGTCCAAACATAATCAGAGAAACACATGTAATTCCCTGTGAAGATCAAGCACAAAAGGGATGAACTTAGGGGGCAGTTTCACTGATCTTTGAAGGAGAGAACTGAGGCTATGTTAGACCTTCGTAGACCTTGGGCTTCATATGTTTGGGGGCTCCACTCCAAACCACACTCCCATATTAAGCAGAATTTTTGCTTTTAAAAACTCAGCTTTCCAAATTACTGGACTATGAATAACTCGTTTAATTTAGAATTGCCTCTGAGATCTTGGAAATCACAAGGCCTATTTAGAAATCTTTTCAAAGTGAGAAAAATCAAACCTACAATTTGTTTTTAAATATAATCAATTAGTTATGAGCCCTAAAGGTAACAATGAGAATGACACGATATTGTTTCCTATACATCTGTCTGCAGAATGGAAAGTAATAAACACTTACATTTGTCTAAGTATTTATTAATTTCTATTTTGCAGTTTTCTCCTTTCATATTTTGGAGCCAAACTTTTCATTCAGCTTTCAAACATTCTTGTAGACCCTGGGCATTCTGCCCACAATGCCTAATGGATAAAATGGTTTTGCACACAGAACCCAGAGTGAAACGACCAATGAAATTAAGTAAAGGTGTCAGTGTATATGGTTTCCAGATAACTTTGGGAGCTCTTTTCCACTATGTGCAAATTCTTATAGAAGCAAAAAGAGAGGCACACACTGAAAGGGAGCAGCCTGTGTTAGCAATAAAGTATTTGCATAGCCCATCCGATGTTGCTCAATGGTTGAGCATCAAACCAGGAGGTAATGGTTTGACTCCTGGTTAGAGCACATGTCCAGGTTGCAGGTTCATCCCCCAGTAGGGGGCATGCAGGAGGCAGCTGATCAATGATTCTCATAATTGATGTTTCTGTCTCTCTCTCACTCTCCCTCTCTGAAATCAATAAAAAAATATTTTTAAAAGTATTTGCATATTTGGTGTAGAGTGAGAAACACAAGCAGGGCTGATGCAGTTCAAAATAAACTGTGAAAGAAAAGGACAAGGCGAGGGGAACTAATTCTTTTAAGCCCTTTGTTAAGCGCTGTGCCAGGTCCTTTCTATGTATTGCTTCATTTAAGTCTCATAGCAACCCTATGATCATTCCCATTGTACAGACGAAGAGAGCAAGACCTAAAGAAGTTTGGAGACCTGCCAAGGAATAACAGCTATGAAGAAACAGAACCAGGAGTGGCCAACCTCCAAAGCCCTAGCTTTTTCACAATACGCATGTGTCTTCTTGTTTCACGAAAGGGTGGGGATCATATTATATGATTATCTTTCCCAAACCGCTGATTTAACGAGTGATGAACAAATGTCTTTTCATGTGGATGGGATGTAAGAATGGGGTAGAGGCTGAAGTTTCCCAGAGAGCAAAGTTGAAGTGATAGAAGGCAGAATTCACTGCCTTTTTTTTTTTTTTTCCTCCCTCAGCGATTCATTAGTAGAAAAAACTGTGGTGGATACATTTCTGAAGCCCACAGTCTGTTTGCAACATCAAGGGAATCTTTAACCATGGAAAGTCCCAATTCACAATCGGACTGGAACATGCCCAATACCCTACATGGTCCGCCCCTTCACAATACTTCTCAGAGTGCAGTCCTGGCCTACCTCCCCCCGAACTAGCCAAGGAGTTTACTAAAATGCATATTCTCAGGTCTGGGTTTGGAGAGGAAGGGAGCAATTCTGCTGTGTAGTAACAGCAAATAAAATGGGAAGAAGTCTGAGGTTTTAGAATTTTCAGACTTGGAACGAAAAAGGTTGAGTCTAAAAAAGAAAACATGTCACCTTCCTGCCAAAGTAAACTGTGATGAAAGTTTAGGCCCCACCACCTCTCAGCCAAGCATTTCCTGTTCTGGTCTCCCCTGTCTGCCTCGCACAGGCTCAGATGGAGGAAGAGCTATTTTTAAGGTGCAAACAACCAGCGCTAAGAATGAGAGAAGTTATTTATTTATAGTTACACCTTTCAACTGTTCTTGTTCTCTGGAGACAGAGCTTGGTTTGGCTTTCCCTTCGAATCTGACGACCATGGGGTAATGACTCTGAAAGGTCATGGCCAGTCTATCCTCTGCAGACAGGAATCATTGTCTTGGGCAACCCTAGTCAGAAAGCTGTTTCCTACTTCTTGAGGAATTCCTCCTAATGTACACCCACCACCCATGGGGCTTAGTCAACACATGCTCTTGAGAAATATTTTATAATACATACTTTATGTGTAGAAGGTGATTAGGATTCATTTGTGGCTTTGTCATTTAAAAAATCCAACAGTAAAACTCCCCCCCTCTATTTTTTTCAACAGAGGATTCCATTATCATGCAAATAGATATTCTCTAATTTATATGGATTTGTAAATTCAGACTTTGAATTAGATTTTCTTGAGGCAGGACACCTGAGACTGTAGTGTTCTTTTTGGCATAGAGAGCTGTGCCTTTCCTCTTGTAATTCACAGGTCTTTTCTTATTCCATTAGATTTGCCCATTCTTAATACCAACCTCACTGAACCCCCTGCAGACCTTTGGAATTCGCCAGTAAACAAAAGAGAAAAGCCCTCCCTCTAGAAAGGTAGGCAGCAGCAGCATCTTGGTGTTGGCTGTTACCCCCATCAGCTCACTGACATTATTTTCTTCCCAGCACTGACAGTAAGTACAGTGTCTGCTTATGTCACACACCACAATGTAAGCATCATGAAGGTTTGGCTCACTTTTTAATTCATCACTGCATCATAAGAACAGAAACTATACTAGATGCTTACAAGTCATTCAGTTAACAATTTTCTATTTATCTCAAATTGTTATGGCATTGGAATTATATAAAATGCTGAAGAGGGCATTCCTTCCCTTTTTTTTCTTTTCTTTTTAGCATGATGCCTTTCTACATATCCTAGCTCCACTCTTTTCACCCACTGGCTCAGGCATTATTATAGGGATTACTTGAAAGATAAGAGGATGACTCCTTTCTAAATATAAGTATCGCTGTGTTTTAAATGAATCAAACTATAAGCCAGTAATTCTGGAGAACAAGTTGGTTGGCATGACCCACTCCCAGCTTCCTTGCTTTCCCTACTTCTAATGGGCTCTTTGTGTTCCAGGCCAATGGGGTTGTGACCCAGCTTTTGGTGCAAGGAGGGTCCTTGCTGCCTCACTGTGCTTGGACAAAATTTGGTGCCTTGTACCGTTAGGGAAGAAACAGAAAGATTGGAAACTACTTGAGTGCAGAACCTAGGTCTAAAAGCAGATCTATCAGTAAGATGGAAACGACTTAATGATCCAGTATGCCCTGGAATGGCACAGGAATCCGAGATGCCTTTGGATCAACAATAGTTGGCAGACAGTAGGAATTCAAGGAAGTTTTGCTGACCAATGAATGAAAAAAATGGTGCAAAAATAATGCTGAGCTAGGGTAGTTAGATATACTTACCTCTTGGAAGGGTCAAGTTCTTATTTTGGGGACATTTCTATTGCGCAAGTGCAATGGAAAATATAAATTGGAATAAAAACCCAATCAGTTGCTCACTTACCTTTTTACTAAACTGGGGACCATTAGCCCCTCCAATGCCTCTTTGCACGGATGGTGGTACTTGATACACATCTTGTTCCTGGATACCATGGCCAGTGGGTACTTGATAAATTCCCTGATTTTGGTAGGAAGGTGGTACTTGGTAGATGATATCTCGAGGAGCACCCTGTGGGTTTGGCACTTGATAGAGCTTCTGTTGGCCAAAGGCCTGGTGCATCAGTCCAGCAGTAGGCTGGTCCTGACTGGAGGAGGTCTCCTGTATGGGCCCAATGAGAAGCTTCACCCGGTTGCCTGGGACAATCCCTTGCCGACCGTGTAAGGAGCAGAGCCACCATCCTTCCAGTCCTCCAGTGTTCTGCTCTATGACAGTCAGGATGTCTCCCTTGCGGAAGGCCAGTTCCTCAGCACACTCTGGGACATTGTCATATAAGGCTTTTGCCATAAGATTCTAGGGAGGAAAGAACAGAGGGAAACTGTGTTAGAATATTAGCTTAGTCCCTTTAACACCTAAAGCCCATGCTCCTATGGAGAGGCACACCTCCTGGAAAGAAGAGAAGAATAAATCTAAACGATCGTCTGTAAGGAGAAAAACAGATGGTGCAGACAAAAGACAGATACATACATTCTGCGTCTGCCACCAATGACATCAGACTGCCTCCTTGGACAGGCTCAGAACACCACAAGAGTTCTTTCCTCTCGCAGCCGATGCCGTGCCAAGGAATTATGAGCAGCACTGCTCAAGAGTCAGAAAATGGTTGCCTATACAAAACATTTTTTTTCCTCTCCTAAAGCCAGCTTAGGATATAAAATATTCCAAGATATTCAGATGTACGACAACTGACATTTCTCAAATTTTTTTTTTTATAAAGAGTTAAATAACATCCCTAAAAACAAACAGTATGAATGGCATTTATATTCGGAGTTAAAATGGAAACAAAAGTACACTTATACATGCCTTGGCAGGGCTTACAAATTCTTATTCTCAGTTGATCACAAGGTCCTTGGATACGGGAGAATCTCCAAGCAAGCACTTTTCCACGATCCATCAAGCATGGAGCAGTATGACAGTTTTTGCATCTCCAGATTAGATGGTGGAGACAAAGAATGTCTCACACGTAGGTAGATACCATTCCTTTCTCTTTTGGTCTTTTATTCATACCTTTCCTGAAGGCCCCTCCTCACCCTGCCACTATTTCCTTGAGCCTTGCCGTTCACATCAGAAAGGCTGTGCCTTTCCCTTTCAGGGGCCCAAAAACACTTTCTCTCTTTGTATGAAGGCCTGTCTGGTACATTCAGTACTAAGCAGACAGCCAAAGTAGGCATTCAGCAGAGAGTGGGCAGGCAGTACGTGCTGACATTCTTGGAAGCCTTTCAAAGGCTCCAAAGATTTCATTTCTTGGCGTTAGTAATGCTTCTCGGCATGATGGCAGCCATCACCGCATGCCTGCTCCTTCCCAGCACACAGAGGAGCCGGGAGCATTGTAAGTTCACCACCAGCACTCGGACAACTAAAAGTGATCCCTCTAGAGCTCCACTGAAATGTCTGGATGCATGAGAAATTGCTGCGATGATGACCATTTGTGGGAGGAAGGGCTGCCGATGGGATGGAACATGTTTGTGACTTTGCACAATCGTGGAATTTAAGGTTGCTGTTTGGACTTCTGTGCCCCGTTTTCTTCTCTAGAAATGTGGACTTGATCTTTGAGCTTCCTGCTTTGCATTCTTTTATAACTGACGCGCATTAATCATCTCTCCCCGTACTGTGCCCCGTAGCTGCGGGCCCTGCTCTGTGTGCTGGTTCTCCACGATGGAGCGGCTGTGCTCTGTAAGGGAGCTCTCCTCTGGTGGGTGGTTGGGATGGGGTCATACTTTTACTCTGTTCACCAAACTCCTCTTAATCAGTACAACTACTTAACCTGAGGAAAGGATATAAGGCCATAGTGGTCCGTACCAGGAAGCCTAGTGATGCTCTTTAAGGATAAGGTTAAAGTCTGTTCCTGAAAGTTTTGAGCTCCAGGAAGTCAATGTACCCAGGTGAGCAGTGAGGGAAGCCAAAGGGAAACTAAGGTTTTGTGTTCCAGGTGAACGCTTTACTTAGTATTTATATTCTAGGAAGCTTTGGGTTCCTTTCAAAAATTAAAAGTTCACATAATAAAGTAGGATCATGCATCATTTTATTCTGCTTTGAGGAGCCATTTAAGAATGTGTCCTAATCTTAATATCTCTTCAGTTTCTCTTCTTCCATCTTTTGGATGTTCTGTAGTTTAAAAGAAAAGTCATAGATTACAGAAGATAGGATTCTGGTTGTTTGTACCTAAATGATTCGAGGAAAACTAATTCCCCAGAGTGTACTGAAATTATAGAACAGGGAGAGAGCTGACCCTGAGTCTCTGCTCCTTTTTCTAGGACCCATTCAGCAACTGGGAATGGCTGGTAAGGAGGCTCCAAGATGAAATCAGAAGTGATAAAAAGTAGGGACCAGTTCTATGGAAACTGAGGGTGGATAGCTGTGCAATTATATTGGCTTCAAAGTAAAGAAAGAAAAGAAGCAGAAAACACTATAAAGGCAGAAGACCACGGACTTAATCAGCATGAATAAGTAAGTAAGTTGAGGCTTCGAGAGTTGGCCCTGCCATGGGATTTCCTTGCTCATAGTTACATTTAGGAGAACCATCTCTCAAAACAATAATGCTTTGAATTAATAGTGAGTTCTAGGCATTGCAACCTCTTGTTGAGTATCTGCGTATAAGCAGCAATAATTCTTGTTGCATTGAGGAGATCTTCTAAGGCAAAATACTAATACAAATACTAATGATATTACTGGGTACATTTTGAATAAGTATTATTAGATTGTAGCAGAGTACAACCCCTCAAAAGGGGAGGGAACATGGATAAGGACTTGGCTTTTGAAAATACTTGGTGTGCTAGAGCAGGAGTTCAGTAAGATGATAACAGCAAAATTAACTTCGGCTAGAATACAAATTACCTCATTCAAAAGAGCACATACTAGTAAATAGGTGAATTAAGAGTTAATTCTGCTACTTAGGTGAAGGTGGGCAGGAGGTGGGGGAACTCTCTCCTTCAGTGCAAAGGTATGAGTCCTTAAGACCACAGAGTCAGAAGTGGTTATCTGAGGATCTTAGAAAAACCCGGAAAGACAGACCTCTTTCTCACCCCCTCCCACCCCCATATTTATCTCCATGGCAGGCAAGTCAACACAGAAACAAACCAAGGAGAGATAAGAGAGCTATATAATTCCCTATCTAGTTGGATGGTCAGCCTCCAGAGACGGGCGGTTAGCAGTGCAGCTTGAGCTTGGCAGAGCACCAAGCAGTTGGGCACAGAACTTGAAAGCCAAAGGAGCTTTAAACAATTATAGTCAAACTCTGTCACTCTATAAATGAGAAAAATAAGGCTCAAGAAGTTAATGATTTGCCAAAGTCACCTGGCAAGAAGGTCATGGAGCTGGGACAACAATTCAGGCTTTCTGTCTCCAGCTCCAGAATTAAGACAGTATTTAATCAAGTCAAATACATATGCTACAGAAGTTGTGGCTCTAATCAGGATTCGAATTGGCTTTTAGGGTCACAAATCCTACTTGCGGGGACCCTAATTGTAGCAGCCTCTCACACGGATCCCCATCCCAATATTTCTTGAAACTACTCTGGCTTCTATGTTACCACTTTCTATTTCTCTTTCTTCTCTTATTCTCATGACCACTCATCTTCCTTTTCATTCAAAGACTAAAAAAAAATTGACTCATTCCTTAAGTGATTATGTTCCAAAGGGATGTCTCCTTGGCACTTGTCTTGCCCCCTATAGGCAATCTCATCCATAGTGGTGGTATCTAAACATAGATAGCATTCAGACTCAGAGTTCCAGCCCAGATATTTGTTCTGCATGCCAATCCCACATTTTCAATTGTCTAATGGGTTCTTTATTTCAAAATTAACAAGTGCAAAAGTCCATTTCTCCTGCTTTACCTGTCTCAGTTAACATAATGCATGAAGCTGCCAGGATAATGGTCTCAGAGGTTTTCTGAGTGTCTTCACAACCTGACACCCAATCAGCTTGGGCCCTCTTTCCGCCTCTCATTGCCACTCCTAGTTCAGGCCCTCAGCAACTTCTGGGGGGAGTAAGGCAATTGCTTCCCAATGGTTTTCTTGCATTTGAGGTGGTCTTCCCACCTCATGTCTATCTTCCACAGAACCATGTGGAAGTTATCTTGACAAAACCTATCTAATCGTGTCTCTTCCCAGTTTTCTGGAATGGCAGCTCTTACTGTATAACTTGTATTAACCCATTCAAGATTGGGAGCTCCTTAATGTTCAGGGAGACTGTCTTATTGCTTTGTCATTTTCAGAACTTTAAAGCCCAGTGTCTGAAACAAAATACATACTCATTAGATGTCTAAATTGAAATTGATTCTGGACTTGGATTTCTTGGTTCGCTACAGAAAGGTAAAATTCTTTTCTAGAGAAATCAGCATGATATTTGGTCAAAAGTTTCAGATGGATGTGGGAAGGTAAACTAATGGGACAGAGAGGTAAGTGGTATGTCCAAGTCACCAAACCTCACAGCCAGAGAATGTGGGAGACAGCAAGCAGGAAATTGCCTGCCCCTCCCTATTAAAACAGGATAATAAAGTAGATGGGGAGCCTGAATCTAGTGTCCACAACCACTGAACAAACAGGAAGGCCAAGAGGAACTGACCATCCCAGCCAGATTAAATACAATGTTTTCTGTAAGAGCCTTTCTCCCTTAAATATAGCAACCCGCATCTGGCAGCAGGTGACTGAGCACATTCATACTTTGCCAGAACATTTGGTTTCTGCTGTTCCTGGTTCCCAAGCTATGCCTAAGGAGTGGAAAGAAAATACTATACAACTAGCCAGAACAGCGAGTACAGAGAGCTGTAGGTCACATGGTAACTCCCACATCATCCCTGCCTCTTCCCTGCTTCCCTACCCCCCACTGCTATCGAAATGTCAAGAAAGCTTATTGCTCCTACTGCCAGGGAAATTATCTGCTATTCCAAATACAGAGAGGTGTGACTAATAATTTCCATGGCCATTCATGCTGTTCTTTGAAGAGAAATTAGACACAATGACTGGTGTATCACCCCACTAGCACTGATAGCATCATCAATGGCCCAACTTCCTCTTATTATTTTTACTTTATTCTATATTTATCATACAGGAGCTCCTGCCACAGCTTCAGGGCTTTCACATTCTCAACAACACAACTTTCCTGTACCCAACCCCCTAAACTTTATCCTTGGGATCTGATATGGCATGCAACACACACACACACACACACACACACACACACACACACACACTTTGTGCAGGCCAGATCATGAGAAACAGACATAGTACAGAAGGAAATGGCCATCGTCAAGGAAATCAGTTCTAAAGGAAGTTGCTGAAGGATGAGCATCAAGGTTAG